AACCCTAAACCCTAAACCCTAAACCCTAAACCCTAAACCCTAAACCCTAAACCCTAAACCCACCAACTATGGCCCAGTGCATGGGTCTTAATTACCCGAGGCCCCATAAAACCCTTAACTTCAAGTCGCCTTGCATATCTTTAAATCAGGGTCCCTTTTTGGGTACCCTAAATAAGAGGGGCCGCCTTATAATAAGAACCCCAGAAACGACCATAATTTAGAGAAATCACCATATGAAGCAGGGTTGATATTGCTGTTATTGGTGAGTGTATACAAGGTTCCTGTTTAATATTGGTGAGAGTATATACGGGTGTCCTTTTGGGGGTACAAGAAATATCTACAAATCGAAGCTGTCTCACCTTGATATGATTCACGACCTCGAGTCCGCAGTACAAGAAATATCTACCCTACTTCATATCATTTAGAACAAATCCTGATGAGAGGTGCGGACAGAGAGCCTTAAACCCTAAACCCTAAACCCTAAACACTAAACCCTAAACCCTAAACCCTAAACCCTAAACCCCAGAGCCTTACAGCTCTGAGAGTTGTAGGTGGGGTGGCCCTGGGCTGGGGATGCGCGCGCCCTTTAAACCCCAAGCCAAGGGCTTGAGGTTTAGGGTTTAGGGTTTAGGGTTTAGGGTTTAGGGTTTAGGGTTTAGGGTTTAGGGGTCAGGGGTTTAGGGGTTTAGGGGTTTAGGGGTTTAGGGGTTTAGGGGTTTAGGGTTTGGGATAAACCCCAAACCCACACCCCTGAGCCCTACAAGAGGCCCCCCAAGCGCCAAGCTGCAGGCCCTAAAGCCCAACCTTAAACCTAAACCCAAACCCGAAGCCTCAAACCCCAAACCCCAAGTTACTAAACCCCAAACCCTCAACCCTAAACCTCAAAACCCCAACCTAAGCATGCCCACAAGACCCACCACCCCAAAGCCACCCGTCTGCCCCGAATCACACCTGGCAGCCCAGCGGTACTTGTTTGGGGTTCAAGGGGTTTAGGGTTTAGGATTTAGGGTTTAGGGTTTAGGGTTTAGGGCTTAGGGTTTAGGGTTTAGGGTTTAGGGTTTAGGGTTCCTTGTACAGTCACCGACCCCAAGAAGGGTACACTTCTGATAATGTGGTTGCTGGGCTACCATCATGGAACTCCACCTTTGACCCCCAAGGTGGTACCCTTGGGTTCGGGGGCCCTCTTTGAGGACCCGCTAAAGGAATAGATTAGGGTTTAGGGTTTAGGGTTTAGGGTTTAGGGTTTAGGGTTTAGGGTTTAGGGTTAGGGCTCAGGGTTTCGGGTTTGGGGTTTCGGGTTTGGGGTTTTAGGGTTTAGGGCCATATGAGGAGTATGTTTAGGGTACAACCTTCGGGGTACGAGCCTCATCCCCTTGATACCGACACGTGAAACGCCAAGATCTCTCACTCCGTGAAGTTGCCAGCTCTCAAGGCCTGGATTCAAGTTCTCTTAGGGTTTCGGGTTTAGGGTTTTAGGGTTTAGGGTTTAGGGTTTAGGGTTGCCCTCAGCCCTAAGTCTTAAACCCTAAACCGTAAGCCCTAAATCCTAGGCCGATTGGCGTTTCTGGGTTTTGGAACTGGTGTTTGGGCTTCAGGGTTTGGGGGTTCCAGTTTCTGGGGGTTAGGGGTTTTCTTCAGGTTCTTGCTTTAGGTTTTTGGTTTTGGGCTTCAGGGTTTGGGTTCCCCAAACCCTCAACCCGAAACCCTAAGCCCTGGATTTGTGTTGCAAGGTTGAACTTTCGGTTGATTGTTTTTTCCGGCTTAGGGCTTTCAGGGTTTAGGGTTTAGGGTCTAGGGTTCAGGGTTTAGGGTTTAGGGTTCAGGGTTTAGTGTTTAGGGTTTAGGGTTTAGGGTTTAGGGCTCCTGCAGGCGGAGCTCGCACAGCTGCAGAAGATTCGCGAAGAGCGGATGCCGGAGGTCGAGGTGCTTTAAGCTGGGAGGTTTCGGGGTTTAAATTTTGCTTTAAGCTGGGAGGTTTCGGTGTTTAAACTTTGCTTTGAGCTGGGAGGTTTCGGTGTTTAAACTTTGCTTTAAGCTGGGAGGTTTCGGGGTTTAAAACTTAGAACTTAGGGTTTAAAACTTAGAATTTGGGGTTTAGGGTTTAGGGTTTAGGGTTTAGGGATTAGGGATTAGGGATTATACCAAAAAGGCCCCCCCCCCCCCATAATTTAGATCGACCCCAAAATTTTTAAACAGTTTGAGCCCTGGAGCTGGGTTTAGGCCTTAGAAGGTGGGTGTATGTAGAAACCGTTTGGGGTGTTGAAGGCTTTGTATACAGGGTTGCGGCGGTTCAGTGTCCGGGCTTTGAAACATGCAATGCTTTAGACTACGTTATGCTGGTGGGGTGTCGAGTTTAGGGTTTAAGGTTTAGGGTTGAAGGTTTAGGGTTTAGGGTTTAAGGTTTAGGGTTTAGGGTTTAAGGTTCAGGGTTGAAGGTTTAGGGTGTGGGTACCTGGGAGTTGTTGGGAATGCTGGAGTAATTATTTTTCACAGTGTTGGGCCAACGCAGGCAAATTTGATACGTGGGGTTCTGCACCCAAAACCGCAGACCCGAAACCCTGCACCCTAACCCCTTGAAGCCCTAACCTTAGGCCATCAACCCTTATAAATCCCAAACCTGAACCCTAAACCCTAAACCCTAAACCCCAAACCCTAAACCCTAAACCCTAAACCCTAAACCCTAAACCCTAAACCCTAAACCCTAAACCCTAAACCCTAAACCCTAAACCCTAAACCCTAAACCCTAAACAAGAAGCCCTGGAACCTTAAGCAAAGAGCCCTAAGCCCCGAACCCGAGTGTCGGTCTCCGAGGTGAGAACCATGGGCCCTTAGTATGGCCCCTTACCCTTTTTTTATAGGGATCAGGGGCCTTTAGGGTTTAGGGTTTAGGGTTTAGGGTTTAGGGTTTAGGGTTTAGGGTTTAGGGTTTAGGGTTTAGGGTTTAGGGTTTAGGGTTTAGGGTTTAGGGTTTAGGGTTCACTATTATGTATAGTGCATATACGGGTTATATCACAAGGGACCCAGATGAAGGGCCCATACTTCGAACCCCAGAGCCCCGAAACCCTAAACACCTAACCCATCCCTAAACCCGAAACCCTAAACCTTAAACCCGAAACCCGAAACCCTAAATCCTAAACCCTAAACCCTAAACCCTCTCGGCATGGAAAGTCGTAAGCCCAGGCCCTCCAGCAACGGACCCACGCGGTGGCATCCGAAGCCAAGGAGCGCGAGGCGCTGGCTCAGACAGGGTTTCGGGGTGGGTTGAGGGTTTAGGGTTTAGGGTTTGGGGTTTGGGGTTCAGGGTTTAGGGTTTAGGGCTAGGGTTTAGGGTTTAGGGTTTAGGGATAGGGCTTTACTTCAAGTTTCATGGCTAGCGTTGACAGTGAAGGGCCCGAGCTGGTTGAAGGCGGTGGGAGGACAACTAGTTGTCAACTCCCTCAAACTTTCTTCCTGTGCGTTTTCGTCATCCAAAACCCTAAACCCTACACCCTACACCCCAAACCCTAAACCTTAAACACTTTTTCAGTTTCATTCTGTTGCCCCCCCAAAGAATAGGCGGCTCTTGGGGAAGGAATCAAGCTGCGAACTGATCCGGAATCCTCAATCCTCCAGTCAGGAGGGCTTAGGGCTTTCTAGGATTTAGGGTTTAGGGTCTGGGGTTGGGGTTTCGGGTTTAGGGTTTGGGGTTTAGGGTTTAGGGTTTTGGGGTTTAGGGTTTCGGGTTTAGGTTCAGGGCCGCCCGGAATGGAGGAGTGTCAAGGCTGGCTGCAGTCTGGTCCTTTGAACTTAGGTTGTTGGGCATGGCTTGGGATGTTCCCCCTTATGAGGGAATGAGGTACCCAGAGGGAATGAGGTACCCTATATAATCCCTTAAAGGGTATATATAGGGCCCCCTAGAACAATCCCTTAACGGGTATATATAGGACCCTATATAATCCCGAAAAGGACCTTAAAGGCCCTGTGCAATTCCTTAAAGGGTATATGTAGGGCCCTAAACCCCTCATTCCCTACTAAGAACCAGATGGACAGTCCTCAATTGGGATTACAGTACCCCGATTTAAATCCCGATTAAGGACTGCTTGTATGAGGGGGAACGTCCTTTGAGGGGAGGCTTGGGGACCTAATCAACTCTAATTCTGGGCAATCTTCTTAGTAGCTGAGTAGATAGCCTATACAATCCTACCTTAATTCAAAGGTTAACCTTTGTTGGACCAGGGTACTCAGCAACTAGGTATTTTGGGTACCCAGATTAGGTCCTTACTCGGGTGTTGCACAGACCCTGCAAAAGGGGTTTAGTGTTGCGGGGGGCCAAGATCTCTTCAAAGCCTTTTCACAGTACCCAGACTCCTCCGGCAGGCGTGACAAGCTTCCCGGCCCATTCGCCTACACCCTACCTAAATTCATTAGAGTTTCTTTTTGGATTCCTAACTTTCTTGTTGTATTGTATCTACTACTCATATATCAACAGATGACGGGAGTTTTGGATGGGAGGCTCTCACGACATGTTGTTAAGGGTATAGAGGTTGGAGTGTGCAGCGTTTTGGGGTCGTATGTGGCCGGAGTCCAAGAAGCCTACACCCGCATCCCTACCTGAAGAGCCCCAACTTACTTGTTTAGGCTATTTCTACAAAGCCCCGTACAGGTTTCTAACTTGCAGAAAGGGCTCTAATCCCGGAACCCTGAAAACCCTGAACCCTCAACCCGAAGCCGTATAAACACCATCCCTCGCGTGCTGACTCAAGTGCGGGCGGCTCAGACCTACCCACGATAAACCCAAGACTCGAAGCCCGCCCTTAACGAATGATCGGAATCGTGGCTACTTGATCTCGGAACCACAACCCTAAAACCCAAGGCCACTTTTCATGTATATAATCTTTTCCACACAAATCAGATGCATTTCCGTATACAGAGCCTTCAAACGTAGTAGGAATGCAAGTTTCATTCGCCCCTCGCCCTTGCCAGCTTTCCCCCTGACATGGCACCTTTCGCGGGCGACAGCCATGGCCGAGGAGGAGTCGGAAGAAAAGGACTGTAGCCAGACACCCCCGCCAATATCCCTTTACAATGGGTTTAGGGTTTCGGGTTTAGGGTTGAGGGTTGTAGTCTGAGTAGGTACCCTTTAACCTTTTGGGGTATATATGATCGAAATATCCCCATAGCAGCTGAGTAGGTAACCTTTAACCTTTTGAAGCGTGTATATATATATATATAAGTATATAGAAACAGTTAATCCGACCAATAGTTGAAAGGTTAACCTGTTATGGTTCAGAGGGTACTCAGCAACTACTGTAGGTCCCTTAGCTCGGGAACACTCCGAAAACCTTCATCGATTGCCCAGGCCTAGGCCCTAAAACCCGGTAACCCTAAACCTTGAAAGGCACAGAACTGGCTGGTTCTTAGGAGAGAGTGAGGTACCCTATATAATCCTTGAAAGGGTATGTGTAGGGCCCTAATTCGCTCATTCCCTACCAAGAACCAGGGGTATTGGGGGATCCTGCAACTAATTTGCAATGCGACCTTCAGGGTCTCGGGTAAGGTTTGCAGAGCTTGTCATGAATCCCTCAATCATCGGGGGCCAAACGAACCCTAACAGCGGCATCACATGGTTTAGGTTCAAGGGTTCAAGGGTTGAGGGTTTACCTTGAGAGGGTTTGGGTGGTAAGTGCTTAGACTGCAATGCACGACGACAGCTTCGGAGTGGCAGTGGCACTGACAGGCCTCAGGCTAGAACCGTCGTCATACTGGTGACTGTCTTTCATGTCCTGGCGCCCTCGGTCAGACTCCATTGCCTGCGACCTCACGGTGAATCAGGGCGCGGTGGCCTCTAACCAGCTGGATCCTGGGGCCCAGCAAGCCGATCTTCTGCACTGCAGTGCCACCAAATTATAAATCGGAATACTAAATAACACCATCAATTGCCAACTTGCAATGCTGAAGATTGTTAGAAACCCTCGCATCTTGTGTGTCGTCTGTGGCTGGAGAACTGGCAGTGATGTTGGTCCTGGCTGACCATGATGTTCTGATGGATGAGCTGGTAGCAGTTCACACCAGCAACCTGGTGAATACCTCAATGGTCCATGTACCTCGCTATCATATACTAAACCCTAAACCCGAAACCCTAAACCCTAAACCCCAAACCCTGAATGAACAGGAGGCGCTTTATGGCCCAGCACGTGGACCCTTCAAGAGATCGGTGTTCACGAGGGCCCCACCCCCCCCCCCCCCCCCCCCCCCCCCCCCCCCCAGCAAAGGGCGTTCGTTAGGGCTTGGGGTTTTTGGCCTATGGATTATAGGGTTTAGGAGTCTAGGGCTCCTAGAATCTAGGATCTAGGGTTTAAGGTCCATGGGGTTGAGGGTTCAAAATTAGAGCTTGCAGCGTGCATCGGTTTTTCAGGGTGTACAGGGCTTATAGTATAAAGCCTTTAGAGGGTTTGTAGGTATAATATAAATATGTACATATATATATATATATGCTACCCCCCCCCCCCTCAAAACCCACGTCTTACTATGTTTTCCTATCGTACACTCTGAAAACCTCTCCCCAGAGACCCAGAATTCCAGAATTCCAGAATTCCAGATTTTCTGAGACCCCTAATTCCAGAATTCCAGAATTCCAGATTTTTCAGAGGCCCCCAGTTCCAGAATTCCAGAATCTGGAATTCTGGACCTGGGGGCCCCTGAAAAATCTGGAGTTCTGGAATTCTGGAATTCTGAATTTTAAATTCGGAGAGCCGAGAAAAGGGTGAAAATAGTGACATTTTGAAATTAGAGACAGAAAATTAGAGTCTTATGAATCTTACCCATTAAATTTTATAGGGTTCCTGATTACTTTCTAGGCTTCCTAGTAAATTAAATATTACTCCTGATCTTATTAGCCCCCAGTTCCAGAATTCCAGAATTCCAGAATTCCAGCATCTGGAATTCTGGAACTGGGGGCCCCTGAAAAATCTGGAATTCTGGAATTCTGGAATCGGAGAGCCGAGAATAAGGTGACACTAGTGACATTTTGAAATTAGAGACAGAAAATTAGAGTCTTATGAATCTTACCCATTAAATTTTATAGGGTTCCTGATTACTTTCTAGGCTTCCTAGTAAATTAAATATTACTCCTGATCTTATTAGCCCCCAGTTCCAGAATTCCAGAATTCCAGAATTCCAGCATCTGGAATTCTGGAACTGGGGGCCCCTGAAAAATCTGGAATTCTGGAATTCTGGAATCGGAGAGCCGAGAATAAGGTGACACTAGTGACATTTTGAAATTAGAGGCAGAAAATTAGAGTCTTATGAATCTTACCCATTAAATTTTATAGGGTTCCTGATTACTTTCTAGGCTTCCTAGTAAATTAAATATTACTCCTGATCTTATTAGCCCCCAGTTCCAGAATTCCAGAATTCCAGAATTCCAGCATCTGGAATTCTGGAACTGGGGGCCCCTGAAAAATCTGGAATTCTGGAATTCTGGAATTCTGGAATTCTGGAATTCTGGAATTCTAGATTCGGAGAGCCGAGAATAAGGTGACATTAATGACATTTTGAAATTAGAAACAGAAAATTAGAGTCTTATTAATCTTACCCATTAAATTTTATAGGGTTCCGTATTACTTTCTAGGCTTCCTATTAAATAGAATATTACTCCTGTTCATTTTAATGGGAGTTCTTATTGGCCCCCAGTTCCAGAATTCCAGAATTCCAGAATTCCAGAATTCCAGAATTCCAGAATTCCAGCATCTGGAATTCTGGAACTGGGGGCCCCTGAAAAATCTGGAATTCTGGAATTCTGGAATCGGAGAGCCGAGAATAAGGTGACACTAGTGACATTTTGAAATTAGAGACAGAAAATTAGAGTCTTATTAATCTTACCCATTAAATTTTGTAGGGTTCCTTACTACTTTCTAGGCTTCCTATCAAATTAAATATTACTTCTGTTCACTTTAATGGGGGTTCTTCGAGAAAAAGGTGACAGTTTAAAATTAGAGACGGAAACTATGAGTCTTGTGAATCTTACTCATTAAGTTTCCCATTACATTTACCAATACTCCAGTTCACTCTAATGGGGGTTGTTATGAAATTAATATGGTTCCGAGTAATTTTACTAGCATTCAAATTGTTTTTGAATAGGATTCCTGTATTTGGTTAATGGGGTTCGCATTAAATGCTAAAGGATGCCTATTAAAGGGTGCCTATTAATTTGTTCGATTTGATATTGATTCCTATTCATTTTAATCACATTCCAAGTAGTGTTAAAAGGATTCTTAGTAGCTTTCTTATTTCTAGTAATTTGAATAGAAAGTCTAAGAATTTTAATAAGCTTCATACAAATGTTAGACACATCCCTATGATGTTAGTAGGCTTCTTATTCAATTTAAAAAGATTTCGTACAATTGTTAATTGGACTCTTTTTGCTTTGACAAGCTTCCTACTCATTTACATAGGTTCCTGATGAATTTGAATAGGCTTCGTATTTGTTTTAACAGGGTTTCTCATTCATGTGAATGGATTCCTAATAGTTTTTTCATAGGGTTCCTACTAGATTCAAGAGTGCTCCTACTATTTTTTGAATATTGTTCCCTATTCGTTTCAATTGGCCTCGAGGTATTTCTATTGTACTTCTGTATTATTTTCATTTTAATAGGGTTCATTGCAAGTTTATCAGTGCGACTCTTTTTGTTTTAAAGGGCCCACGTTACTTCTTTATAGGTTTTAACAGCACTCCTGTGAATTCAAAAGGGTTCCTATTCATTTCAATGGGATGAATCCTCTGAATTTGGGACTCCGAGAAATTTTTATGGGAGTCCTATGAATTTAATAAGTTTCTACATATTTAAACCAGATTCCTATTACTTGTACGTATATTCATACGAACCCTATGAATCCTATTAAATTTAATACGAACCCAAGTAAAACTAACAGCAGTCTTATTTATATTCATAGCAATCCACGATCTCTCGATCAATTTTTTCAGGTCACTTCTGTTTGAGCACTCGCTCGAGCAATTGCTGAGTGGACCTAACTATGTGAATTAAGCTTCTTGGAATCAACGAAGTTAATTTAGGCAATTAAATCAATTACATTAGGCAAATTAATGAAACTGAGTAAAATATCTAATGAATTAATAAAACGCTACCATGACCAAACCGGGAGGCCGATCTGTCGGACTTCAGGGAAGAGCATATGGAAGCGTGGGTTTTGGGGGGGGGGTACCATATATATATATCTATATATATATATATGTATTCTTGCTAAAGCCAGGCAGCAGCAATTCAAAGCCTCAAGCCTGAACCCCAAACCCATACCCTAAACCCTAAACCCTAAACCCGAAACCCTAAACCCTATCAGCTGCCTGAGGAGGCCATCCCAGACGACGAGGTGGAGCGATTGGAGCTTCTCCTCTCGCTGCCCCGGACCGGTGCGACACGGGGGGGGGGGTTCAGGGTTTAGGGTTTCGGGTTTGGGGTTTGGGGTTTAGGGTTTAGTGGTACCCTTTTCCCTTTTTTGGATCAAGGCTGTCTTAGAAAGCAACCAACCCATATATAATAGGGTGCGCTTATTTCAATATGGCTGCTAGGCTACCAAGCAAAATGGGGCACAAGGGACCCCTAATTTTCTGCTGCATCCATGATAGCAGTACATGCGTCTGAGGGAGGGCTCGCGGTGTAGGTGATCCTTCCGTAGTACGTCTGCACCATAATAGGATCCTTTATGCCCAAAGTTGCACCCTGCAACACTGAAGCCGTAAAACGCCGAAACCCTAAACCCTAATCCCTGAAACCTTAAACCCGGAACTCGAAACCCTAAACCCTAAACCCTGAAACCCTCAGTTCCAAACCTCCGAAACCTCAACCCCAAGCCCAGCGAAGCGAAGCTACCGGTGCTAACATGCACAGGGCGATTTTGTAAACCCTAAGCCTTAAACCCTAAACCCTGAACCCTGAACCCTAAAACCTTAAACCCTAAACCAAATGAGGGCTCTAGGGTTCGAGGGTTTTTGGGGGAGGGCATCTGGGGCTGGTCAAGTCCGAGGTTTGGGAGGTTTGGGGTTGAGGGTTGCAGGGTCAGGGTTAAGGGTTTAGGGTTTAGGGTTTAGGGTTTAGGGTTTAGGGTTTAGGGTTTAGGGTTTAGGGTGCTTCCGCCCGCGTGACCTGAGGCTCGACTGAGCAAGACAGCAGCACCCAATCGGGATCGTCTCTGCAAACTTTCGGCTGTAAGAGTTGGCTGCGGAGTTTGACGATTTACAGGCCTAACTTGTGTCGCTCAGGAAAATTATCCAAACCATATAAGGGGGGGGGGGTATTGTTAAGACTTAAGGCATCTTCCTTCAGCTACTTCGGAAGACCTGGGACAAACCCTAAACCCTTTCAACCTTAAAACGCCCTTACTCAGCCAACTATCAACTTTTTGAGTTTCCTGACTTCAGTAGAAATAGTAAAGTGCAACCCTTTTCGGTTTAGGGTTTAGGGTTTAGGGTTGTTGGAGAAGTAAGGCCCCCCCCCCCCCCCCCCCCCCAAAGAAGCCTCCCAAGAGCGCCATGGACTGCTTCAGCTTCTTGATCGACATCAGCACCTTGGTAGCTGAGTGGTGGGTTTAGGGTTTAGGCTTTTGGGTTTTGGGTTAGGGTTTAGGGTTTAGGGTTTAGGGTTTAGGGTTTAGGGTTTAGGGTTTAGGGTTTAGGGTTTAGGGTTCTGGGTTCCCTTGCAAAACAAGCCAGCCCCCAAAAAAGGGGCACCCTTATTGGAAGATGGTTGCTGGGCTACCAAGGCACATCTCGGCCTGCCCAGCCTCTTCCGGCGCCTTCGGGCGGCAAGCGGCTGCGGTGGGCCGGGGAGGGGTTTGGGGTTTAGGGTTTAGGGTTTAGGGTTTAGGATTTGGTTTAGGGTGGGGTGGGAGAGGGAGGTCCCAAACATCCCCCGGTAGACCCTGAACCCTGGACCCTTTAGGGCTTTTCGAGGTCTTAGGGAGTCTGCTGAGTTGTATGTATGGAGCTTCCAGGGTTTGAGGTTTTTGGAGTCTCCGGGCGCAGTGTCGGTTTGTAGACTTCAGGGCACGGGCATTGCACCGCAATCAAAACGTATCCCTTCCTTCCGACTTCTGTCGCAAAGCTTGCTCAAGCTCTCACTGATTGTCCCCATTCCTTCCAGACATGTCCACCATGCTATATACTACTATTTGCTCAAGACCCCCCCCCCCTCCAAACAACAAAAAGCAAACAATACAAGATATACCGCCCTTATGAGGTGATTTTTGGCCGTGCTCTAAGCAAATAGTAGGTGAGTGCCCCCTGGCGGGTGACATTCCTTAATTGAGGGTTTCCGAAAATAGGAGTACCTTTTTGGGGTCCCTCTAAGTGCCTTCTACTCTTATTGGGGTATGGAAGGGGTACGCCTATGTTGCAAGATGCCCAATTGAGTTGTATTGGAGTCTGCTGGCACACGTGCAATCTTTGGCAGGCTCGTGCGCCACGGCGCCACTCGGCGTCGATAAAAGCTTCAGGGTTTCGAGCAACTGGCGGTCTCCTATAAGGAAGCAGGCGCGTAAACAGCCTGGTTGTTTCGTGGACTTTTGGAAAGGTTTGGGGTTTGGGGGGGGGGGGGGGGGGGGCGCTGGTTACGACCATGTTACTGTATCCATGCCCAAAACACCGACATTTATAGCGGTATTCCTCCTCTACACAACATGCTGCACCAGGATGTTTGACGTTTCTGACACAAGGCGTATGCGAACGGTGTGTCGTCATGACGCCGATCCACTAACAACTGCCAGCAGAAGCAACATGAAAACAAACAAAAAAAACATGCACAAAACTGATCCTTGTGTTCATGTCGTAAGAAACATCGTAAAAACCATGGTCTTATGTGCTTGTTTTCCTGAAAGGAGGCATGTATGTGTACTTCTGGGTCGTATATTTCAGTTCTTAGGAGAACTCGCGCGAACTTCTTCAGCTACAGATACTAATTGCACTGTTTCAAGATAAAAGTTGAAAACATACCGAAACCTACAGTGTTTCTGGCCGCGGAAGGACCTGACCTAATTCGAGCATTCTGAGAAAATGGACAAGCAGACAGTGCCGGCGCGGCTAAAACCCAAGCGAAAATAACGTCCGCACCTCCAAGTCACCAGGTTTTAACGCGCCTGTGACCTCCCATAAGCCTTCATCCCCTATGACCTTTACCTGGAAAGGTGCCAGCCAGTGGCTGAAGCTTGTGGAGCACATTGCGATTGCACCTGCCTGGCAGCAGGCGACTATGCCTTGCACAGCTTGCTGATCTTGCAAGATATTGCTGCCAGATGCCCGCAGACATGCGTCAAGAGGTTCTTCAGCCACCCCCAGAAGCTGGAGCTGCCAGACCGCCAGCTGCCTCAAGAGGTTCTTCAGCCAGGCAGCCACCAGAAGGTGAAGCTTGCAAAGCCTGGACAGAAGACGAACGAAGAGTCTGGCAGCTCCAGCAGCCACATCGGGTCAGATTCATGAAGCTTGGAAACGCAAACTCTGCAGCTTGGTGGGCGTGCAGCTTTCGAGGTGCCAAGCTGGGCAAAGCCCAAACTGCACAAGAAGCTTGCAAAATATTCTTGAAATATATCGGTTTTGCGGATTTATTTATTGCGAATATGTTGCAGGAAATTGCACATTGATTTTGCAGATGTGTTTTTGTTATTATCCTGGTTGCATGTTTGGTTACAGACTTGCAGGGTTTTTGCGCGTATGTCTTGCAGCCTTTTTGTTGCCGGCTTTGGGAAGACTTGGCTTCAAGAAAATTGTGCGCAAAACATATGCCAACCATGTGCAAAGGGGTGTAATGATGTGCAACGCAATACACAAGGCTGGCGCAAGCAAAAAACACAACAACCTGCATGCCATGCCAACACGCAAAAAATGCACAGCAAATCGGAAGTTTTGGATGTGTATTGTGTGGCTCAAATCATCATATAAAACTATGGTTATCACCCTATTCGAGGTTCTTCTAACCTTACTTGTACGTACCCATGGAAGGTGAATCCTCCCATCGTGAAAGTTTAGGCCTAGACCCGAAGCCCTAAACCCTGAACCCTAAAACGTTACGCCCTAAGCCCTAAACCGCGTTTGAGTACCGAACGCCCCAGAGAAAGGAGCCAGCGTTTAAGCCTAAACCACCCGAAGCCCTTTTCTAGGGGAGTTTTGGAAGTAGGCACCTTCTGTTCCCTCTATTGGCCTGAAAAAGATAGTTTTAACGCTACGCGACCCGCCTCGGCCCGGCCCAGCTCATCCGCGTGAGCATGGTGATTCCGCAGCGCCCAAGTCGCTGGACCCCAAGCAAGAAGGGTTGGGTTTAGGGTTCCGGGTTTATGGTTTATGGTTTGGGGTTTAGGGTTTGTTTCGGATTGAGGGCTTAGGGCTCAAGGTTCACGCTTTGGGGTTTAGGGTTTTTTTGGGTTTAGGGTTCAAGGTTCAAGGTTCAAGGTTGAGGGTTGAGACGGTTCGGCCTGGATTGATCCTAGACTTGAGCCAGGCCGGGTAGGGGGGGTGGCGGGGGAAGGGGGGCAGGGGGGAAGGGGGCAGGGAGGGGGGGGGCTTTGGGTTTTGGATCAGGGTTTGGGGTTGAGGGTTGAGGGTTGAAGGTTTGAGGGTTGAGTGCTTCGAATTTAAGGTTTAAGGTTTAGGGTTTAGGTGGGGCCCTGCTGGGAGGGCTTCAACTGCCTCTGGTCCTGGCGAACCGTCCGCTTGCGGACCCCTGTTTCCTAGGGGGGGTACCCATTTGAGGCAAAAAAAGGGGTCCGAAAAAGGGTCTGGGGGGGGGGGGGGGGGGGGGTGCCTGTTCTCACAACCTATACACCTCCGGCCCGAGGCCTCGGCGGAGATTTCATTTCGCGTTTACGGCTTTGGGGTTTAAGGGCTGGGGCTTTTGGGACTTTAGTGCCTTTAGGGTCGTAGGGTTTTAATTCGGGCTTCCCAAGGTTGTAAGGATTGCTTTTATTGCATGGGGTTTTGATTTAGACCGCCAGGTTTGTGGGGAGTTTTGGGATTCAGGGTTTGGGGCCGACCGCCCGAAACCCCTAAACCCTGGCTACCCCCTGAAACCCTAAACTCCAAACCCTAAACTGGCCCTAAACCATAAGCTATCCTAAACCACCGTAAATAAACCCTGAGCCCTACACCCTAAACCTATCCCAAGCCCTAATCCTTAGACCTTGAAGCGAGATCGTTTCACGTTTTGTAGCCGGACCTCAAAGGAGAGCCAGTACAACGTCTACTATGCCGAGCACCACCGTGATCCAGGCGGAAGGAAGACTGGAGCAAGCAAGTCAACCTCAAACAACTGAACCAGAGAATTCATCTGCATTTTCTTAATGGCTTAAGGCCTGAGATTCGGTCCAGGGCCTTACAGGGTTAGGGGGTTGAGGGGTTTAGGGGGCTTAGGGGGTTCATGCGGTTTG